AGGTTTTTATCCCCATGTATCCTCTCCAAAGCTAGTCTGGGATTTGATATCTGGAAGAAAGAGCTACAGAAAGTTGCCACAAAACCTGGGTTCTGATCTTTGCCTGAAGCTAGCATGCGTGATGGGCACTCAGCAGACCAGTTATAGCTGGTTTTGTCCATTGAAGAGGTTACATGCAGAGAAACTATAGGACTTGGCTAAAATAGCAAAGCATATCAACCTCAAAAGAACCCCACCAGGAACCAAGCTGCTATTGACTTGAGTTTTAGAAGGAGAGTCAGGGAAACATCTTTTTTGCTTTCCAGGGTCTCCAACTCCTCATGCTTATTCCTGGGGACTTGTATAAGATCAGCAATTCCATTTCTTGGCACTCTTCATTCCCCCCCCCCCATTTCTCTGGCAACTTTTGGGTTTGTATCTTTAATCCTGGAATTATTCCCTCCATTAACACCTTCCTTGTACCTCACCCTCCCAAAGACTCTCTAATCCTGCTTCCTGCAGCAAATCCTTCTATATCCAGACTCCTTTATAATCATTGATTGTAGTAATTTGAATAATAGCCACTCAGTGGTGGAAGAGGGAAGAAGACAAAGGAAAGGCAATGGCTTTGAGGAGAATCCTGGGGAATCCTTCTCCTACTCTCAGATCCTTAATCAAAAAGAAAGATATCAGGTCCTAATCTCTGGAACTGTAAGTACTACTCCATTTGAGGTGAGATTTACTATATTTTGGTTGATTTTTTTTTTTAGCTGAGGTATTATGTATTTTTAGGTGAGTTTATATATGCTAAGGACCAAAGCCAGGGCTTTCAGCTTTCTAAGCAAGCATTCTACTGCTTAACTAAACTCTCAGCCCTTTCATTTGAAAACAAAGCAAAACAAAACAAAAAGTCTTTGCAGATGTGATTAAGATTTTGAGTGGGTGGGCCAGGCCAGGGAGATAGCTCAGTGATGTAAGTGCCTGCCTGACAAACACAAGGTCCAGAGTTTGATCCCTGGTACTGAAAAAAACCAAACCAAACCAAACCAACATTTTGAGTGGGGCTGGATCATCTTGGACTGTCTAGGTGGGCTCTGAATTCCATCACAACCAGCCTTATATAAGTAAAGAAGACAGACAGAAAAGGTGAGGTGAAGACAGGCGGATTATTTAATTCCACCACATGAAGTACCTATAATGTGTTATAGTAGTCAAAACTAGTGGAGTTGGAAAGCAGAATAGTGGTTTCCAGGGGTTGGGAATGGAAATGGGAATTACAGTTTCATGGGTACAGAGTTCAATTTTGGAGTGACCAAAAAGTTGTGGAGCTGGGTGATTATAGACGGTTGTGATAGTTGTACAACAATATCAATGTATTTAGTGCCACTGAATTGTGCAATAAAAATGGTTAGCCCGGTAAATTTAATGTTATTTGAATTAACACACACACACACACACACACACACACACACACACACACACACGCAGGTTTCAAGTGCCGTGGCACAAGCCAAGAGAATTCCAATAAACACTAGAAGCTGGAAGAAGCAAAGAAAGATTCTCCTCTAGAATCTCAGGCATGTATCCCTACTGACAATTTGATTTCAGCCCAGTGAAACTGGTTTTAGATTTAGCTTTCTACCTTCCAGAACTATGAAAAAATAAATTTCTGTTGTGTTGTCACTGAATTTATGATAATGTGTTACAGAAGCCACAGGAAATAAATATGCTGATCAACAGCCTGTTTCCCTGGGCTTTCCCCATTTGAGTCACAGTGAGACGAAAGCATAGTACAAAAAAAGTCATAGTATCTTTCTATATCCTCTGCTTTCATTAAAGTCTTACAATAAGAATCCTTCATCCCTATCATTCACAAACAGTTCTTGCTCTCTACATAGTGTTACCGACCGTTCAGAAGGATGGTCACAGGGTTCAAGTGAGCTGTCCATGGTCTGTCCTGGCTGGTGGCTGAGCTGGGACTAGCCATGTGAGCTCCTTCCTTAGCTCCTGGTTTCTCAAACCCAGTGGCTCTGTACCTGGCTGTTGATTTTATTATGGTGATAAGAGTTCATTTTTTTTTTTTTTTTTGTATTTAGGACAGGGCCTGTAGGGTCTCACTACGTAGATCAGACTCGTAGCGATCCTCCTGTTTACAGACTCCCTAGTGCTGGGATTACAGGCATGTGCCACAATGCCCAGTCTCAATTGCCATCTCAGTATGCTCTGGGGGTAAGCCTGGCATGGTAGACCTAGGGTGGAACTCCTGGCCCTTGCATCTGCCTAAGCAGGCACTTCAATCTGCTGAGCTATTTGGTAGGCCCAAGAGTTCATTGTTTCATGGTGATTCCATCCTGCGATGTGGAGAGCCATCCAAGACTTGACCTCTGACAAAGTCACGTCAAGTTTGGAAAATCTTAAAGCTCCTCCAAGCAGGTGCAGGGGCAGAGGGTTTGATCCCCCGGCCTTCCGTGCCGGCTCCACCCCTGGGGTGTACTGAGATGGCAATTGAGACTGGGAGTGGTAGTGTGTGCCTGTAATCCCAGCTCTTGGGAGGCTGTAAACAGGCAGATTACCATGAGTTCAATGTAGTAGTGAGACCCTAAACACCCTGTAGACCCTTCCCTAAAATAATAATAATAAAAAAGTTTGGAGAATGTGCAAAGCAGAGTTTTATATGGATGTGTCTCCATGAGCCCCCTAGGAATCGTTAGGCTTATGATTCACATGAAAGAGAGCACACAATTAATCACTTAGGGTTTTGGCATAACTTAATTTAGTGCATAAAGTTCTTACAGAGGTTGGTTCTGTGTCTCCTACCTTGTAAACCTGCAGAAAGGGACAAGCCTAAGCCCAAAATATTTAACAATAACAAGGAAATTTAGAGTCAAGATCTTGAGACAGTGAGAAAGGACCCCCGAGAGCTAAGAGTTTTGGTGGGGCAGGAATAGAACAGAAAGAACAATGGTTGACTACTCCTAGTTTATACTCTATATTCATATTAATCAAAATTTAAACTGTTTTTCACTTATAGATGAAGAAACCACATCTGTTAATCTTGCATGAAGAAAGCTTATGTAATCACTCGTGTATAAATAAGCGCTACTGATTTTGCTCTGGGTTGAAGAGACACACCCTTCTTCCCTCCTAGCCCCACTATGTTTCTCTGAGTCTTTCTCTTCACTGCCCACTTTCCTCTCTCCTCAGGTTGTTCCCTGGAAACTGAGCCTGGACCTCGATACTGGGGTCTATTTCTAGGTGAGAAGTATACACTACACTTGGGACCTGCCTAGGAGGAGCTCTCAGGCTGTGAGAAAAGGGTAGAGATTCCACTTGGCATAGAGATAAGTGAAAAAGCTTTGATGAATAAGTGAATGAAAGTGGATGAAAGGCAGTTTGCTCTACAGTGCAGTTGACAGCTGAGAGGCAATCAATCTTGAGAGGCATCTACTGCACAAGGTCAGTTTCAGCTTCCTCTGTAACTCTTTTTGAGCAGGCATTCTGCTGGCCCTGGACATAGATGTATCTGGTTTACAAGCACAAATTTAGATATAAATACTGGCTAAATAATAATTTTTTGCTGCAGCCTCAGTGCGAAGAACAAGAGCTGTTGAGGGGGAATGGGAAGCAGAATTCTGAGGGAGAGTGGGGTAAAAGAACAGCCTGCTCACATTTGGGAGAGGACAGTTGTTAACTGGGAGACAGGAAGGGCTCTGTGAAGGCCAGAGTCCTGGCAAGATTTGTATGGTCCTTCTCCTCTCTATATTTCCTCGTTAGAGAAAGGTTGTCCTCTCCCAAAGGGCTCAAGGACCTCTGGAGCCAGCCCCTGAGAACATCTTCCTAATCCTTCCTCTGAACTAGTCCTTCCCTGGCCTGGATGTAGGGCTAGGGTTGCCACTGGCTTATTTTGTGACCCTGGGAACATGTGTCCCCTCTCTCAGACGTCTCTCTTCTGAGCCTGATTTTGTGGTTTAGATTTTTGTTTCCAGATGCTCATCCAGAGTCCCCAGGAAAGGGTAGGGTTAGCTGGAATCCTTGCAAGGGTTCTGTAGTGTCTTTTGTTCTGTATGCTTTAAGGAGGATCCTAAAGCACATTACAATTGTTTCTTAGTACCTGAGGGTAATTGGTTCCAAGTTCCTCTTGCAAGTACTAAAATCTGCAGATGTTCAAATCCTTTATATAAAATGGGTAGCATTTGCAAACAACTCAAGAACACTCTTCTGAATTCTGGTTGCAGAATTAATTCCACAATGCTGGTTGTAACAGAATTGCAAGCATAATTGTGGAATGAATTAAGTTCACAAAGGTACCACTGGATAAATAATTGCTCTGTATCAAGTAATAACATGTAAATACTATGTAAATAGCTGTATTTTAGGGAATGATGACAAGAGAAAGGTCTACACATGTTTAGTACAGCTGCAATTTTTCCCTCCAATAATTTCCAGTTGTTGGGTGAATTTTGTGAGTGCAGAACCCACAGATATTGAAGGGGGCAGACAGGGCAGGAAATGGCTCCCAGTAGAACCTTTCTCCTAGTCTGTTTCTTACTTTTGATGGTGGGGTACAGTGCTCCTGGGGACTGCAGACTGTAAGGAGAGGTCAGGAATATAGGAAGGTGCATGGCCATGTCTGTGCCCAACAGATTATGTTTGTGCTGAATGATCCTCAGTAACACCCAACAATTTAGTCTTCCTCACAATGTTCTCTACGGAGAACGACTTGGCTGGTTGCTCAGAAACGTCTTGCTCCCATTTCACACAGGGAGATGTGAGTCCCGCAGAGATCGTGGGACTGGCACAAGGTCAGGTGGCAGGTGACCTGCAGCCCTGGTTCCCCTGTGGAGTCACTGCTGCTCTGCCCCAGGTGGGACCCGATGGCCCGGCAGGCGTGGCAGCCAGGCAGGATGCCCGCGGCGGGAGCACAGAGGGCCTTTGTGCCAAATGGGCACCACCCCCTGGCCGGCCTCTCCCTGCTCACGGTTCGACTACCTGCACGGCATGCCACCACCCCGCCGACAGTCCCTCGCGCCAGCTAGTCAGCGCCACAAGCCCAGAGCTGCTCCCCGACGGTGCAGAGCAGCACAGCGCAGCAGAGCGCAGGGCACCGGCGCGACTGCCCCGTTGCCCTAGCGTTTCGGGTCTCCTCCCTCCGGGAGGGCTAGGGTTTGATTATTGGGTTAGGGTTTGATTATTAACCCGGAGGCTGCATAAAGAGCTAGCGGCCTGCGCGGACGGGACGGACTCTACGCTGTCGCCATGGACAGTTCCACCTGGAGCCCGCCGACCACTGCCCCTTCTGAAATTCCGTCCTACGAGCGCATCCGCAATGCAGCTGACATCTCTGTCATTATCATTTACTTTGTGGTGGTGATGGCCGTTGGACTGTGGGTATGTAAAGGCTCTGGGAAGTGGGCTTGAAGGGGAGAGGGACAGCAGGTGGGGTGTGAGAGGGCACACAGGGAACGGGTGCGTGAGTTGCAAGGGGTCCGTGGGTTCGCAGATCTATGGGGCTGGGCGGCGCGGGAGGGAGGAGAAGAAATGCCTGGAAACGCGTGAGAGGAGTTCAGGGCATGGTGTGACGGGTTGGGGCGAGCAAAGACAGACGCATGTCAAACAGGTGCCCAGGGAGTTTGCCAGGAAGACCTGAGGACGATCCTGGAGCTCGTGAGCAAAGAAGGAAGGAGGAGGATGGCAGAGAGGGGAGAGCACAAGGGACGGGAAAGCGGCAACTTGGAGGGAGGGTCTTCAGGCAGCTGAGTACTGTCCTGCCTCCTAGCCGGTTTCGGGTGGGAACGTCGGAGAGGGAAAAAGCCATAGCTTCTGCCAGCAGGTCGGGTGGGGACTGATGGTAGCTGAAGAGTGGCCCGGTCCTGGGCTCCAGGAAGGGTTTCCTGGAGGCGGGAGTGAGTTAGAGATGGAAAGCTGGGTGGAGCAGAGGAGGAAGACCCGAGGGTGGCCTGGTGTCAGAGAGAAGGAAGTTCAGGTGTCTCCTTGGGACGCTGGGAACACACCAAACCAGAGAAACTTGTTCTCTGCAGCCTGGAACTTGGAAAGTTCATTTATGGCAGGCTCTGTCACACCCACCAACCAGAAGAGGTGTTTTAAAAGTGTGCTAATATTCCAGCCACTTTTAAGTGACAGGCAGAAAGAGGCTGGCATGCCAGCAGGTGGTTGTGCCACACTTTCCACTTAGACAAGAGATGCCTGGGCACGAGTCCTTCCATAGATACTCAGCTTTTTCAGGGATTTAAGGAAGTGTAAATAAATTTAAAAAGGTGGGGGGGGAGGGAGGGAGAAGAAGCTGTGGAAATCAGATGTGGCAGAAAAACTCCCCGAGTGTCACATGGGGTCAGTGTTGCTGGCTCTTCTTCAATATTCTCAGCCTCACCATAAATGTCCAGCTAGGAGCCAGAATACTTGTTTAGTATTGGCTTTCACATGGCATGAAGGATGTAGGGTAACTGCCCACAGCCTCAGTTTACCCAAATATAAAATAGGTAAACAGTATCTATTCTTATGACTCTGCAAGGATATTGTGAGATTCTGCAGATAAATCTGAATGCTGTTTATGAACTCTATGGATAATAATATAATACAAAATCCCCAAACAAACAGATATACTAACATCACTGTTCCCTTGGATATGATCTAGGTCTTCAGTAATTTTTGTCCCTTTAAGTAAAATGGAAAAATGATGGGTAATAATACATCTTCACAAAAAGCCACAAGACAGGAGAGACAGGACTATCAAGCCCCATTTTACTGAAGAGGAAGTTGAAGCCTAATGTAGTTATGATTTGCTTAGGATTTTGCAATAGCTGGGATTGTTCCTGGAAGTCAGGTGTCTTTAACTCCTGGTTTTCCTCAGTACCAGGAACTCTGCACAGTACTTTCATCACTCCCACTCCATCTGGCTTTTATGTTCTGGAGCCAAGATGTGAATCTATCATTTTGCTAGCCCTCCTCTAGTACCCAATTTCCCAGACAATCACTAATTATCCTGGTTTTCTTAACCAGTCTCACTGTGGCCCTGCCAGTCCTGAGGATGTTTACATTAAAAAAAAATGGTGCTAGTGCTTTTGAAATGTTTGTGAATCAGAACCATTTGTCCTGTTTAATGCTACTTAATGAGCCTGTGAGTATTTGTCTACATTTAATCTTCCTCATTAGTCAGTGACTCTGGACCTACCTTCTCTTCTCTTCTCTTCTCTTCTCTTCTCTTCTCTTCTCTTCTCTTCTCTTCTCTTCTCTTCTCTTCTCTCTCTTCTATTCTCTTCTTTTTCTTCCTTTCTTTTTCATTTTAAAAAGAACAACAAAAAACCCTAATAAAAACAATGATATAAAATTTCAAAACAGGATAATAAGAAATTAACAATATTGCATATTGTTATCTTCAAAGTAGTTGCTCAGCTTACAAGACATAGGCATGCAAAAATCAAACAGCTAAACACAAACCATTCCTTTTGAAGAACTAATAGAAATCAGTAGCATAATTATCTTAGCTATCTTGTGTATATATGTATTTTTTTACATAGATTTCTTCTAGTCAATTCCTTTTTTTTTTTTTAGCTATTTAGGCATCAAAAGTGACTTGATTTAGAGATGGTTATTCTCATGCTTGTGTGACCGCTGGGCTGAACAGATAGAGGGGTCCAGGACCATTGAATTTCCTCAACTTAGAAAAATCACCCACAGACATTGTCCCTCTGTCACCATCCCCATCTCTTCCAACATCATTTGGTTGTGCCTTATGCCCTTCCAACTTTGCCTCATTTAATCATAGTTAGGGTTTGAACAATAACTTCTTTGGCATCTATTTCCATTTTTGCACCATCTCTGTTTGCTTCTTTGGGAGATTTTGCATCCCTTTAAACTGAATCTGTGACTTTATTCTTGGAGGGAGAGTTCATCAAGCTATGTTGCAACCCCTTCAAGCCAGAGATTGTTAAAAATTATGGCCTATAGGCCAAATCTGGCCACAGCATGTTTATGTATGGGCCACAAGTGAGGAATGGTTTTATACTTTTTTTTTTTTTTTTTTTTTTTTTTTTTTTTTTTTTCTACGAATGCCTTCAGGGCAGGTTTGGCTGGCTTGAGTTCTGGGGATTGAACCACAGCAACCTGAGCCTGACTGCTTTGTTGAAGCAGCCACTTAAAGAACTGAGCTAAGGGGCAGGTCCCTGGTTTTTATACTTTTAAAGGGTTGTAGAAATAAAACAAGATAAAACAATATATATCAAAGACTTTGTGTATCTCACAAAACCTAAACTATTTACCGTTAAGCCCTTTGTTCTTTAAAATGTAATCTTGGGGCTGGGGAGGTAGCTCAGTAGGATAAGCACTTGCCTGGCAAGAGCAAAGACCTGAGTTCAATCCCTGGTTCTGCCAAAAAAGAAAAGAAAAAAAAATCAGGTGACTTTTAAAATATAACCTCATCCTCTGCAATTAAGACCCTTATCCTATGCAGTCATTCAAACCTATGTCATAACTGATATGTGAGCTGCAGTGTCCTTGGGAGAGTTCAAGATGAGGACCAGAGAGGGTGGCTAGAAGTCATTCAATATCGGACCTACAATTAAAATCCAGATTTTATGATGCTAAAGCCAATACCCTTTCTACTAGTCCTCCTTTCAGCCTCCCTAAGACAAGATCCTTTCTGGAAATAATCTCTGCACTGGAGGAAATACTCTCTCTTTCAACCATGGCATTGCTGTGACAGTGTCCAAGTGATGCCAAATTCCTTCTTTCATTGCCTGTTTTCATAAAGATTGAGACTAATGTTTACTGTCTTCACCCTTCTCCACTCTATGCTCACATTTCTTCTTTAGGTCATTTGGGCAAGTTGTCAACCGCTTTCACTTGCATACTTCCAATAGAAACTCTCCCCACTGATCCTATTTCTGTCTCTAGACAGCTCTAACAAAGAGGAAATCCTTCCTGGAACTCAGCCCAGGCCTGACAGCCCAGGACTTTCCCCATTTTGTGTGGCTGTGCCCTGTGGAGGCAGTGCTGAGTGACTGCTCCACTTTGAGAAAAGAAAAAAGCCAAAACAACAATGTTGGTGACAACAACTATACTCCTCTCCTCCCCGAAGTTTACAACTATAGGTCAATCTTATCTAGTTGTAGAATGAACAGGTGAATTTAATGCTACTTATAAATAGGACCTGAAACGCTGGCATTTTCTTTGCTCATCCCTTGATCATGAAATAATGCTTTTCTGGTAAAGCCATATTAATATGCTGAGCTGTAAAAGGCTCAAGTCAACAACTTCTGACATTGCCATTCCTACGGATAACCCACTACTATTATGGACTACTGGACTATATTGGATTATTTTGCTGAATTCATGTACCTACAGTATTTAAATGGCAGTGGAATACCCATCTCTGACAAAACTAAACAAAACAAGGGGATACAAATAAAGGACCATTTTGTATCTGTATATACAAAATAAGATAGATGTACAGCTACTGTACATGAGAAGAAAGATTGGTACTAATAGTATTTGGACAGTATATCATGTCTGCATTTTGTATTATGAATAACCACTATGGAGACAACAATATGCAATGTATTAATTATTGAAACTGCCCTATTAATTGGTTTTGAAACAGTTTAATTGCTATTTGATTCCCAATAAAATAAAAAAATAAATTAATAAAGAAATAAAAGCCCCAATGCTTCTCTACTCACAAGATGTTTACTAAGCTTCATGAGAGATAGAAACTTTGAAATATGAAGAGCGCAATGAAGGGATCCACATCAAAACATATATGTATTGAAATGAAATATTTTATAAAAAATTAATAGGTACCAATAAAATGCAAAAAATTGTAATATAGTAATACAACATAAAGAATCAGAAAGACTTTGAACAAGATATAATGGAATTCTTGGCTGGGTGTGGTAACATACACCTGCAATCCCAGCCCTTGAGAGGCTGAGGCAGGAGGATTGCAGTGAGTTCTAGGCCGACCTGAGCTACATAGTGAGTTCAAGTCCAGTCTAACTAAATACAGATACCTGGTCTCAAGAAACAAAATGGAACAAAACAAAACAAAACAAAACAACCACAAATGACACCAAAACAACAGCAACAATAAAAAATGGAATTTTCTAGGTGTTTGGAGCAGGGAGAAGGTACATGGGGAGAGGAGAGTCATAGGGGAGGTTTCCCAAGGAATCCAAGACCTGGGCTTGCAGAAAAATGGGAATGAGCACTCCGGAGAGGAAAAGACCCAGTGTACACATGCCTCTCCTTTCCTTTTGTCCATGTCAAACACCTTTTCTGAATTATTCTAGCTCCCTATTTTTTCCCAGAATTTTATTGAGAAACAAATAGCAATGAGACAGTTTCAAACCAAATTGGTAGGACAGTTTCAATAATTAACACATTGCATACATTCTTCCTAGTGGTTAATTGCTGTACAAGATGCAGACATGATATCCTATTTACAAACACTATTACAACAAATCCCTCTATTCATGAAGAGAATGTAACTATATATCTACCCTAACCATTTTGAATACACAGATACAAAATGGACATTCATCTGTATCCCCTTTTTTGTTAAGTTCTATAATTTGAATATTATAGGTGTGTTAACTCAGCTAAATATTCTAAAAGAGTCCAGTAGTACATAATAGTATTTGGTCTTCCGCTTGATTGGCAATGTCAGAAATTGTTGACCTGAGTCCCCTACAGCTCAACATAACAGCATGGCTTTACTTCTTATATTTTGTTTTTATACTTTTCTGTTGGATGGTTAAGACCAAGATAAAGCAAGACCTATGCAACAAGAGTTGTCAGCTCCCTATTTTAGATGCTGCTCTCACCTTCTTCCTTTAGACTCCTTGTTTCTGAGATCCACTACAAAATGATTGTGTCTAGGCCCCAAGCCATCTTTTCTTGTCCCATCAACCATAGCTGGAGTGTATCAATCATTTTTGACTTGGAATGACCTTCAGAATGGCCTTTCACCAGATGGTTGTTGGAGCTGGACTCCCTAGCATTTATTTGTTTCTGGTTGTTTGTTTTTCTGTAAAGGGTTTGTTGTCATCCTTGACCAAAGGAACCACCTCCATATTTACTGTACTTGTCACAACATATTGTGAAGTAATAATTCCAGAAATCTGCTATCTACATTATTAGGTAGGAAATATTTGAATTTTGAGTTTGAATGTGTGTGTATATTTTTATATAATGTTTATTATGAATGCTTTGCATTCTTATCGCATTTTTCATTTTTTTTCTGGAAATAGCTTTATTGAGATCTAATTCATGTACCATATTGTACATATAAGAAATATGTTGCTTCATTAGGCACTTGATATGCTTGTAAGAAAAACACAAAATTTCCACGTCTCCCTCTTTAACACATCAGTGAACAAATCTGGATGGAGAGACTTACTTGAAGTTATGAGGTAAGATAAATACAAAGCTAATACCAGGGCAAAGTGTCTAAACTTTCTGAACCTCAATTTCCTTGTCTGTCAAATGCAGGTTCCAGCCTCCTTTATCTTTGCACACTGAGGCTTTAGAGGAACAGGAATGTGAAAGTATTTCAGAAAGAGGATTGGGCAAAAGAAAATCCTAGGGTGTGTGTGTGTGTGTGTGTGTGTGTGTGTGTGTGCGCGTGTGCGTGTATGTGTGTCTTTTTTGCTAGCGAGGTCACTCTTCTAGTTTTCTATTAATTTGTTGACCCTTTCTTCTTCAGGCTATGTTTTCCACTAATCGTGGAACTGTTGGAGGCTTCTTCTTGGCAGGCAGAAGTATGGTATGGTGGCCGGTAAGTTTTCTTTGAAATACTATGTGTTTATATTTGCTTTAGGAACCCTGCTTTTGACTTTGGGTGGTGGCAATTCTTTCTTCCCATCTAGATCCACAATAATTGGCTTCATGTTCACCAGACATAGTGGGCATCCTTGATCTTTTGTGTTGAGTGAATAGTCCTTAAATAATTAAAATTTGGAATCTTTTAAGGATTGGAGGAGAAAACCGCACAGGAAGGGGGTATGGAGAAACAAAAAGAACACACATATCAAAGTAATCTTAAATAAATCTGGGCTTCCTTCTTTTTGTCTTTTTTTGAGGTAGGGCTTTGTTATTCAGGTCAGGCTGGCCTTGAACTCAGTATATATCTCAGGCTAACCTCAAATTCACAGTGATCTTCCTGGCTCAGCCTCTGGAATGCTGGGATTGCAGGTGTGCAACAACTCCCCTGACTCGGAGCTTAGATTTCTTTAACTACACAATGAGATTTGTAGTATTTATTTTCCAGGAAGGTAATGAAAAGTAGAGTCCTCTTATAAGCTGGGAGATCAATAACTAATAGCTCTTTTGCTAGTTCTTTCCATCTTCAAGTCTCATGGAAAAGAGAGTCTGTCTGTCTTACATTTTCTGGAGTTTTATGCAATGTGGGATAGAGAGGAGTCCTTGATAAATATTTACTGAATAGATGGAGATGCAACAAATTTCCAATTTCAGTTTTTCTCTGGATGAGGTTTTTTTTCATCTCTTAATAGACTTTATATTTTGTTTGTATAAGTAGTGTTCTATCTAACATAAGAAGTGATTTACCTAACACTTGTACATAAGCAGAACTAGCCCAATGAAAGGATGTGTGCATGACTGGGACAGAAACCAGGATATTTTTTTCTTCATCAGCACAGGCTTACTGGCTTGTTTATCAGGTCCATCCAGTGACTATTTTGATTTGTTCTCACTGAAGCAATTGATTGGATAATTTGGCCAAAGCGTGTAATTCCTTAGCCCTAAAAAATAAGATTAACTGGTCAAAGATGGGGGTAATGAAGCATATATAAAATGAATAGAGTGTCAGCTGTGAGCTGAATGGAGGAAGAGAAGCAAGAAATAAAGACAGTCACTGTTATGATATGCACGACTCCCCAAGTACATACCAGGAAATTGTACCACATCCTTAGTTGGCGTTTGATCAACTATTTTGGGACAAAATTTAGTAACTAGCATTTCAACAGTTGCTTGGGTTCTACCTAAAGTCATTTCAGCATGAAAAAATTCTGACAAACATAAGTTGTATGTATTTATAGTGTATAGCATGATGTTTTGATATATGATACATTGTGATATGATTAAATCAAATTGATATATCCATCACCTCACGTACTTTTTAAAATGTATTTTTTATTTTCATTAGTACATGCTTGAAATATATGATTGCATTTATCATGGGGAGTTGGGACACAACACATCTTAATTCTATTTGCCTTTTTTTTGCTAAGAATATTTAAGGTTCACAAAATATTTTAGCAATTTCCTTCCTTCCTTCCTTCCTTCCTTCCTTCCTTCCTTCCTTCCTTCCTTCCTTCCTTCCTT